CGGCGGCGCGCATGGAGGCGGCGGCGGCGGCCCCGGCCCCGGGCGGCGGCCCCGGTACCCTGCTGCTCTGCCTGGCCCTCGCCTCCGGTAAGCACGGGGGACCCCTGTCCCGCCAGCAGCCCGGTCCCGGGATACCCAGGGGCTGGCACGGTGTCCCCTCACTGTCCCAGCCCTGTCCTCTCGCTGGTCCCGGTGCTGCCCCCATCCCGTCCCATCCCGCTGCTTCCCGGCCCCAGGCTGATGATCCTGCACCTGCCTCTCCCTCCCATCCCGGTGCTCCCCCTGCCTGTCCTGCTGCTCCCCCGTTCCCGTTCTGCTGAACYCTTGTATCCCCCCTGTTACACCCCATCCTGATGCTGCCTCTGGCCCATCCCAGTGTTCACCCTGGTGTTTCTTCAGTTCCATTCCAGTGACTCCCTGTTCCTCCTTGGTCAGTCCCATCCCAGCCCTTCCTCTGTGCCCCAGTCCTGTCCCCGGGCTCCCAGATCCATCCTGGAACTGCCCACCATTCCATTCCCTSTCCCCTCTGAATCCCTGGATCCTTTGGGGCCAGCACGGGGCCGGGATGTCCCGGTTGGATCCTGGAGTAGGACTGGGATGCTTTTACCACCTGTTGATGGGACGCTGCTCCAGGGTGCCCGGAACGGGGCATGCCGGGGGCAGGGGGCGCCAGTGCCTGCCCAGCACATGTGAGAGCATTCCCGTGTTAGTTCCTCAGTTTTTGGGAAGCAGGAAGCCGCGGACAAGTGTCTGCTCGCGGCCGGCAGGAAATAACCCTCCCTGGCAGAAGGTGCCAGCGCTGGGATTTCGGGGGTGCTTTTCTCTCTGCAGGGAGCACTTTGGGTTTGGCCCTTCGGCAGGGCCGGTGACAGCGCTTGGCAAAACCTGTCAAACCTGTGCTGGCAGGAGGAAACCAAGGGTAGCCGCCTGTTTTGGGGCTGCTGCGTCCCATCAGAGCACGGCAATGTCCCGGGTGGCTGCAATCCTGCAGTCTGGGCTTCCCTGGGAGAGCACGGGGGTGTTAACAGCARCACAATCCCGTGTTTGGGATACTTCCCAGGGTTATCTGTGGCTGCTCAGCAAAGGGTGCAGCCCTAGATAGTGGAGCCCGCGCCTCCGAGAGAGGAGGGTGTTTGCACCTGCAGCTGCTTGGTGCTGCCATGCGGGCGTGGGGCAGYACAGCCCCCTCCCTGCGGAGCTGGCGCTGCCACCAGGGCGGTCCTGCCCAGGGCTGCCAGCCCGGAGGATGCCAGAATGCGCATCTGGTTGCAATAAGGGTGGGGAGCTCATCTTGGTGGGGATCTTTCCATGCCGAGCTGTGAACTCGGTCACCGGCAGTGAAGTCAGCCTCCCTCCCTGCCCCGCCGTGCCCRCAGCTGGATCCCGGGACAGCCGCCCCATGGCTCATCCATCCCTGGCTCCTCCAGGCAGCTCCCACCCCCGGCTGGGGCGGTGGGCTCTGTTTGCTCCCCGCCGGGCTCTCTCGGGGCTCTGTTACCCCGAGCGCGTCATTAGCGGGATGGTGCCTATACATAGCCGGGAGAGACGCGGGTGCTGGGAATGTCCCCCTGCGGGTCGGGGACACCCCGGAGGTTTGGTCGGGCAGCTCCCACCGCTGCTCCCCAGGGGCCGAAGGGCCGGGCAAGGGCGCAGGTAGCCAGGGTTTGGCTGTGCAAGCTCTCCCCGCTCTGAAAAGCCTCAAAGCGCACCCACTCGGGGTGGCAGCAGCCTCGCCTCGCCGTGCCACCTCCGCGGGAGCCGCCCAGCTCCCTGCCCCGTCAGGCAGGACCTGTCCCCGCTCCCTGGGTGCCACCACGGCGGGTGAATCCCTGGGAGGGCCGGGCTGGGAGCGGGGCCGTGCTGAGTCAGTGCTGGTATGCCAGCGATCCGGTTACCGCCGCCGTGACGCGCAGGGCTCTGCCGCCTCTCGGTTTCACCCCGCTGGAGAGCGGTGGCCCCTTTCCCGGCCCAGTTATTGCGGTGCTCCAGGGGGACCTCAAAGCACCTTCCGGTGCCTGCAGGGACTCTGAGAGAACTGCAGAGGGACTTGTCACAAGAGCRCAGTAGTGACAGGACAAAGGGGAACGGCTTCGTACTGACAAAGGGCAGGTTTAGATTAGATATTGGGAAGGAATTCCTCCCTGSGAGGGCGGGGAGGCCCTGGCACACATTACCCAGAGAAGCTGTGGCTGCCCCATCCCTGGCAGTGTCCAAGGCYAGTTTGGACTGGGCTGGAGCACCCTGGGAGRGTGGAAGGTGTCCCTGCCMGTGGCAGCAGAGTTRGAAMGAGATGAACTTTCCAKTCCCTTCCAACCCAAGCCAATGAATGATTCCATGATTCYGGATCCCTCTGGGGATCCCTCCCTGGGCAGAGCAGCAGCTGGCTGAGCTGTGTGGTCCAAAACCCACCACGCTGGCTCCCAGACCTCCGTGCTGGGGCGTTGGTGGGTGGAGGCAGCAGGCGGGGACCGGCTTTCCCTTCTCCCGGCCCTGGGGAAAAGCTGATGCTGCCAGGGCAGGGCAGGGGGGCCGTGGCGCAGCTGTGGAGCCCGAGGCAGCCCCCTCCCTGTGGCTCTGGCGGGCCGGGGGTGGRGGTGCCGGGCCCCGCTCTGAGCTGTCCCCGCTGCGTTCCAGGCTTGGCGTTCTTCAGCTGCGTGGGCGCCGACACCAACGTGACCGCGGGCCACGGCACCGAGGGGCTCAGCTGCGACACGGCCAAGGGATGCACAGGTAACGGGGCGCTGGGAGGGTGCTCGGGGAGCCGGAGGGTTGGAAGGGAGCAGGGCAGGAGGGCAGGATGGAGGATGAGCCCGTGTTTCGTGTGGCGCGGCCGTGTGGCATCCCCCGTTTGCAGCTGTCCTGCTGCGGGCATGGACCCGCTCCGGGATGCTGCTGCCTCTGGGCACGGCTGYCAGCCCTCCGGGACAATTCTTGGTCCTTGTCGCCCCCAGGGAACGGGACGCAGCTGCGGCGGCAGAGCCACTTCTCCCGGTGCCCGGASGAGTACCAGCACTACTGTGTCAAAGGGAGGTGCCGCTTCGTCGTGGCCGAGCAGGCACCGGCGTGTGTGTAAGTCACCCCCGGAGGGGACACGGCGGCACGGGGGGGTTCTGTGCCCGTTCTCCTCGGGAGAGCGGGATGAGGGGGGCACGGGCACCGTGGCATCGTTTGGGACCTCCCTCTGCCTCCCCTGTGCCGCGGGGCAGGTGCGAGTGGGGCTACACCGGGGCTCGCTGCGAGAGCGTGGATCTGTTCTACCTGCGAGGGGACCAGGGCCAGATCGTCATCATCTCCCTGATCGCCGCCATTGTCACCCTCATCATCCTCATCGTCGGCATCTGCCTCTGCAGCCAGTACGTGGGGGAACGGGGCAGGAAGGGAAGGGAAAAACAGGGGCAAAGGAAAGAAMGGAGAGTGGTGGGGAATGTCTCCAGGTGGTGGGGAATGGCTCTGCGGGTGCTGGGAGGTGCCTGGAACATTTCTTTGGGTCTGGAAACCAGGTGTGATCCCATACGGAGGAGGGAGAAGCATCACCGCCATGCCTCATTCTGCCTCTTTTTTTTTTTGTTCGTTTTTTATTATTTTTCCGCCCTGTCCAGCCACTGTCGGAAGCAGCGTAGGAAGAGAAAGGCAGAAGAGATGGAAACCTTAAACAAGGATTCGCCTTCCAGAARCGAAGACGTGCGGGAAACGGGCATYGCGTGAAGGTGCAGGGGGCCGGGGGGGCTCAACCGAGCCGGTGTGACCGGAGCCCCGCACTGGGGCGGGCGCTGAGTTCCTCGGGCTCCGCTGTCTCCGCAGGAGCTCCCGGTACCTGCGGGCGGGTCCCGGACGGCAGCACCGGCTGGCTCCACGGGCGAGGGCGAACACGCGCGGCGGCTTGAATAAAGGGGTGACGGAAAGCTGTCCCCGTGTCGCCAATGTCCTTGCGGGCACGGGCGCCGCTACCGCCGGGGGCTGCGCTGCCGCGCCGCGTCCGCCAGACGGCGACACCCGCGGGACCGCGCCACAACCGCGCCACAACCGCGCCACAACCGCGCCGCCGTCCCGCTCCGGTCCCGGCTCCGGGGGCTCTGCCGGGCTCGGGGTCCCGCTCCGGTCCCGGCTCCGGGGGCTCTGCCGGGCTCGGGGTCCCGCTC